ATAATAATAATAAAAAAAAGAAATCAAGAGTTCTTAAAGAACTTCTGTCTGGCCAAGCTCCTCCCCGTAGGATCAGATCAACTCAACCACTTGGTTTCTGACCCCTGTACAGCGTGGACTCTCACAGGTGACTTCCATTGGCATCTAAAACTCTTCACCCGCAGGCCTTTGCAGAGTCTATCTACCACCTGCCCAGAGCTAGCGCCGTCAAGCTGACCTAAAGCACTCACCGCAGTCCTGGACAGAGTGTCCCAGGCCACCAGGAAGACATGTCACGTGAATGGATCACTCCATGCCACTCCATCCCACCACCAAGAGAGCCCATTCAATACCTGCACCCTGGGGAGGCAAGACAGGGGCAAGGGCTTGCCTGCTCTGAAGGAAGATTTGTGCTCTCAAGAAATGCCCTCTGCTGCAGATGAAGAGCACAGGAGCAGCGGCTTGGGGAAACTCCAGAAAAACCAACTCATAACATACGCTTTCAGACTTCCAACCATGGCTTGATGCCATTTAACCTAGAGTGAAATGGTGGGTTTTTCTTTTGAATCTGCAGGTCACCATTCCCATTCTAAGAACAAAATACAGTCCCATTCTAAGACTAAAATACAACCCAGGCATAATGCATTATTTCATATTTCACAAACAGTACCCTATAAAGAGCTCCACTCTGAAAGACACAGCACCTTTTAAAAATAACTTATTATAGGTTCAAAACACAAAAAGTTTCATAAAAATAAAAACCTTCACATCATCCCCTGACTCCCTTAGTTTTGCACTAAAAGTGGAAGCAATTTAAGCCCTTGTTGATATGACTAATAAGGTTAGATAATTGGATTTTGGGCAGATTAAACAGCAGCGAACTATCCCCGTTCCGGAAACTCTCAGATGGAGAAACAGGCAGGACTGGCTGTTCACTGCTGTGCTGCACATATGTCCACGCACTACATATCCACCCACATCACCTACACGGAGTAGGGGCCATCCTTTGTGTTTCAGGAAAGACTAGCTGACAGAGGACCAGTTGAACCAAGAGCAGAAAGGACTTAGAAAAGATAGAGGCTGGGCACCGCGGTTCATGCCTGTAATGACTTGGGAGGTTGAGGTGGGAGGATCACTTGAAGCTAGGAGGATCCCTTGAGGCCAGGAGCTTGAGACTAGCCTGAAGCACAGTGAGCCTATCTCTACCAAAAAAAAAAAAATAAAAAATTAGCAGGGCATGTGGCAGGCACCTGTAGTCCCAGCTACCATGGAGGCTGAGGCAGGAGTATCACTGAAGCCCAGGAGGTCAAGGCTGCAGTAATAGCGAGACTCTGCCTCAAAATACATACATACATACATAAATGATAGAACAAATCAAGAGACAAATGCCGTGGTCCAGGACAGCCATAAACTAATGCGACAGTGATTGGGCAAAATGGATAGATGCTGGAAGAACTGTCAGGGAGACCAAGATAGCAAGAAAAGGCCAGGTCAGTGTGAGCCACACCTAGAAAACCAAGTGACAAAAAAACCAGCAGAAAAGGGAAGAATGCTGCAGGTTTGGGACATTTCACTTGGAAAGCTGAAGTAGCCGAATCCAACAGAAAGTGGACGCTTTTTCCAATTCACGAGAGTTTTGCCACCTTCGTATTTAAAACCTTCAGTAGGTTGTATGCTTGTCTGCATAGGTTCAAGCAGATCATGACACGAATGAACAAACACCAATGACTGTTAACCAAGATACGCAAGTAGCTGGCTGTGCTTGGCCTGACGGTGGTTCTGTCTGTAGACTCGCGTCTTCAAGTTTGTGCTTTTATTGCTTACATCCAAGCAAGTCATGTTTTATGCTAGTGAAATTGTTTGTAGTTTATAGGATGGAATCGAAGGTGCATAACTATTTTGTGGTGGTACTCAAAAACAGTTCGGTTTTCTGAAAAGAGGTCACCTGATACTGGGCAGATTTTGAAGCCCCCACGGGGAGACAGTGTCTCAAATGGAGGTGAAACTTCTGTGGCTCTCATTAACTTCAGACTCTTTCCCAGCAAACCTGGGGCCACTGTAAATTGGAAAAAAAATGAAGCACTTCCTCAGAAGATTGTTGTAAGATATTTTAAATCTACGGCAAGTCAGCAATGAGGCACAGTAAGACAGTCGTGAGGAAGAAGGGGAACAATTCAGAAACCAAACTCTTACTCATCTTTATTCCAATTGCCCTTGACCTTACTTTGACCCAAAGACTGCCTTTAAAAAATGACAAATGGTATGATGTTTTTACAGACTTTTGATCTTAGTTTTCTGTGCTAGTGACGTTGATCTATATACATTCTCTCCGTTTGCCTGATTCTTTAATTTAACAGCAATTTTTCACCAAGTTTTTCTTTGGACTTGATTTATATAAAATTCAAGAAGTCAGATGAATTTTCTGCCTAGCAAAAAAGCATTTTAAATGATAATTCATAGCTCCAATGAGCTGGCGATGGAATTGGGGTCCTTATTTCGAGCCAGCAGCAATGGAGATGGCTCAAATCTTATGGTAATAATATCAAACAATTTGGCAATCGTGTCCAAAGGTGCAAAAATATTTTGAATCAGTAAGTGCATTTTTGAGAATGTATACCAAGAAAACTTTCAAAATACATTCAAGCTATATACATGAATGTGTTCACTGCACAGTTCCTCATAATGTGAAAAATCTGCAAGCAACCTACATGCTCAGATATAAGGGATGACTAAGGAAATCACAATTGATTAATTTTATGCCATGTGATGCCACCACTCACATCATGGTTACTATGTGGAAATTAAGGGAAAATTCTTCGATATATTGTCAAACAATAAAAATAACCAGAAAACCTAGATATAATGTCTGCAACATTACATTGACTATGTACAAAGATTGATAGTGAAAAAGCGAAACAGAAACAGCTGTTCTCTTTTAAATATTCTCTTTAATATGACAAAAAATTAAATGCAGGAAGACTTCCTGCTCCCTTGGAAATAAAGACAGAGAGAGACAAAGGAAAGAAGGGAGAAAGGAAGGGAGGACGGAAGAAAGGGGAGGAGAAAGGTAGGTAATGATACCACTCAGCCCTGCCCAACTGACATTATATTGGGGAAAGTAAAATAAAACCCTCTCTACTCACCACTGTTGGAATAATATCAAAATAACAATCGCCAGTCACCTTATAAAAACCACCTAGTGAATCAAAGTACAAAAATCCAATAATGGGCCAGGTATGGTGGCTCATGCCTATAATGCCAGTGCTTTGGGAGGCTGAAGCAGGAGGATCACTTGAAGCCAGGAGTTCAAGACCAGCCTGGGCAACACAGTGAGACCCCCATCTCTCCGGAAAAAAAAAATATTAGTTAAGTGTTGTGATATGTGCCTATACTCACAACTACTCAGGAGGCTGAGGTAGGAGGATCAATTGAGGCCAGGAGTTGAGGATGCAGTGAGCTATGACTGAGCCACGGCACTGCAGTCTAGGTGACAGAGTGAGACCCCGACTATTACACAAAACAAAAAAAAACAGTGATATCTTAGCCAGGTGTTAGAGTCCTTTGTGTAGAGGTTAAAGGAAATGATTTCTCCAGCAATCAGACTCTGCTCATCTCATGCACTCTTCTCAGGGGCCAACCCCCAAGAAATGGTCATGTCCAGGTTTGTATGCAGCCTTAGGCTGGTGGTCTTGCAGTCCCTGGGGACTCACCCTGCAGGCTGCCCCCTCTGTTCCACAAAGACCCAGATGGAGGCTGAGGTTTCAGCCTTGCAATAAGAGCAGTATGAAGACCTCTGTTATGGTACCACACTCGGTGCTGAGGGCTTTAAAAAACTTCATTCTCACAACATCCTTTTCTAGCAGATTCTATCTTATACTAATGTTACAAAACTTGAATTGGAGACTTCATGTTGAGTGATTTTCTCAAGACCCAGGTAGTATCTGGCCAGGCCTGGGAATCCCAGTCTCTCTGATTTCAGCATCTAACTCTATTCCTTCTTATAGTGTGAAGACTGTTTTTGATATTACCTGTTTTATAGTCTGGAAAATGGCAACATTGTTCTTCAGGGATACTATCTTCGGGTGACATGATGAAGACTGGCCAAGGAAAGTCTACAAATGATTCAAAGCTCCCTTAAATGAGAATGTGCAAAATCTACCCTTTTAAGCACTAGATCCCATCAAAAATCACACCACCTGGATTGATGAGGTTTGATTTCCAATATGCGAATTTTAATCAAAATTTCAAGGAAAACGCTTAGGATATTAGCTTTTGGAATTGCCATAATATTTTTTAAAGGTAGTTTTTAATTAAGAGGACCGCTTCACCCTACAGTTTGTGCTCTTCTTACACCTCCTGCAAAGTATCATAGTCAAACCATTAGAACGCTAAGGAGAAAGTGAACGTGTGTGCGTGTGGGTGTGTGTATAGCAACCAATGAATACATAAACACTATACTCATTTTCATGGAATCCAGAGAAGAAGATTCTCTTACTTCCTAAGCATAATTTATCCAGAATGTGTCCTTCAGTATGTTTTGAACAATTTACATAACTTTCTTCGAGGAGTTTGCATCCGTTCCATTGCAAAGGCAAAAGACCAAGACACACACTTAAGAGACTAAAAGCGAAGACTTGAAATTTCAAACGAACATGATTTTGCAACAAGCAGCCAGTCTGAAGGAATACAATAAATAACACTTGATTAAACACTCTACCAGTGCACATACCAAGGAGGGGGAGAAAGAGCCTTTTATCCAGGGCTTAGTGTGTCAGTAAGAACAGATTGAAATAAGTAAAAGCTAAAAATTGAAAACAATCCTCCCAAAAGTTAAGCACAAAGGATGACCAGCCTCTTCAATCAAGAAAATCACAGGCTTTTTCTCTCTTAAGCTGTAGAAAATGATGTTTTCCATGCCCAGCACCTTTAGCTCTAGAACGTTCTATCAGTTTCTTTTCAAGGTTCTCAGTCCTGACCCCTTCCATCTCCCCAGGCCACTTACTGCACATCTACATCCTTACCATTTGGAAGCTTCGGGTGGAATGGAATTCACACTGCATCATATCAAAGAAGATGGGAATGGTGGCTTTGCGTAGTTCGGTCTCAGGGATTAGTGTCATTTCTAAGATTGGGCCCACCATCTCTGGAATGAACTTTATCTTGTGTTGACCTTGGAATAAGCAAATACATTATTCAGAAGTACATTTTTAAAAGGATTCTAAAACGGGCTAAAATGGACAAAACAGCACATTTTATTGTGACTTTGAACAGCAGGGTCTTGGGAACGTGCACCCACTTCTCTGCAGACAGTAATTGTGAATGTTTCCAGCCATTCGTGTAAGAAGTGACCTGCATTCCAAACGGCATAAGAGAAGCTACTCAAAGATCCATCCAATGTAAGGCCTGATCATGACGTCTCTCATAGATGATAAATACCATTTTACAAACAGACAACTATATCACACAGATGAAGGACACGGGCAGTTAAGTGGTACCCAGTTTTGGCTAAAGCAGGGGCTGGGAGTTGGGAGTCCGGCATCCAACTGTGTGGACAATGATGAGATGGGAGTCAATATATGAGAGACAGTGGATGGCCTCTCGGGTTCTTTTTATCTCCAACATCTTATGAAGATGAGTTTACCATTTGACACCTCTGTAAATAATGCAGAGAGATTTCTGTAACATCCCAAATGACTATAATCAAAGCCAGAGCCTGAAACTGTAAAAATAGCAAGGATTCTACCTTTTTTGGGCTGTTGTTTGATAGGAAGATGCTTACTTAAAGACCTACTTTATTAATTTCAGTTCACCTATCTTGTTCCAGATATGATTTCTAAATAATTCAGAAAAGTGTTTCTAAAAAGCTTTTTAAAACAAATAATATGGCCACTGTAATAATGAATGTTATAGCATTAGCTAACATTTACTAAGCACTTACAACATGACAAACCTAACAAAAGGCACAATGTCTTTGAATTCTCATGATAACCTTGTGAGACGGGTACTTTCTTAACCCATTTTGCAGATAAGGCAACTAGGCTGTCCCTGAAGCTGGACAGTGAAAATGGAGGAACAGGATTTGAACCTGGGCCCAAGATTCTGACACCTCCATTGCGACCCTCATTCTACTGATTCCTTCCCTGTATGCTTGCCACAGGATCTTTGTGTGGCACTCAGACCCTACCCACTTCACCCGCCTGGGCAACTTGGCGAGACCTCATCACTACAATAAATTAAAAAAAAAAAATTAGCCGGGCGTGGTAGCGCGCCTATAGTTCCAGCTACTTGGAAGACTGAGGCGGAAGGATCGCCAGAGCCCAGCAGGTCGAGGTTGCAGTGGCCAGGAGTGGCCACTGCACTCCAGTCTAGGCGACAGAGTGAGACTCCAACTCAAAAAAAAAGAAAGAAAGAAAGAAATAGAAATGGTGTGAGCTGTCCACACCAAATGCCTCATTTGCCTGCTATAATTGTAAACCAGACAGATATACGTGACCTATCACCTTGCTCCCCACTGTTGAACTATTCCAATCCTAAAATAAATCCCCCCCAGGCTTCTTGCAAGCACTCAAATGTTTTTCTTTTTAATTTTAATTTTTTGTGTTGGAAATCCTGGTATTAGGTCCTCCTAGGCCTCTATCATTCACTTAGAAAGATGCTAACTTAGAATCCCCGTCGGAAAATTCAATGACCAGGCAGAGAAGCCATAGTTGGTCCTCGCTTAGTGGTCAGCCCCCACCTCCAGCTAGTTGTGGGGTCTGCTGACACTATGTCCCACCACCGCATCCGTTGCCCTCACGCCCACTGGGTGTGCTCCTCCCCAATTCTGAGGACCTGGGGAAACGTGGATGAGTCTATAAAGAGCTTGTATTGAGCCAGGGAAGGTCAGAGAGACAGCAGAGGAAAGAACCACAGCAACTGCTAAGTGTATTTCACAGCCTAGACCCCGAGCCTCTGAATGAAAACTCATTTCTGAAAAAAGAGGGGCATTAAGCTTATCGAAGGTGACATGATTAAATTTAAAGGCAGGTCTTATCAAAAAGGGGATCTTTTAAAATCCCACCCTCTTGTCTTTAATTTCAGAAATCTTGACTTATTTTCATTTCACCACACTATCACGTCATTTCATTCTCAACGTATAACAGAAGGATGCACAAGAAATGAGCTGCTTGAATGAAATAGTTGCACTATTTTGTTATGAACGCCAGCAATTTATCCACAGTTAATCAATCTTACGAATACTTTTGCGTAACCAGGAAACGCAAAGGACACTCTAACAATCTAGTTGTCTTTACAGCTCAGCTAACACAGATTTCTGTAAAGAAAATCATTAAACAAATGTGGCCATTATAAATAACTATACTGAGGCTGAGCATAGTGGCTCACACCTGTAATCTCAGCACTTTGGAAGGCCTAAGTGGAATGACGACTGCTTGAGCCCAGGAGTTTGAGATCAAGTTGGAAAACATAGCAAGACCACTGTCTCTACAAAATATAAGAAAAATTAGCTGCATGTGGTGGCTTGCACCTGTAGTCTCAGCTACTTGGGAGGCTAAGGCAAGAGGATCACTTGAGCCCAGGAGTTGGAGGCTGCAGTGCTCGCTCATACCACTGCACTCCAGTCTGAGTGAGAGAGTAATATCTTATCTCTAAATATACACATACATATATATATGTGTGTGTATGGGTGAATATATACTCATACATATGTATATATAGACACACACACATATATATTATATATATACACATATACATAAAATAATTAAAGAAAATATATAATCCTCATAATGAGTCCACTAAACAAATTTTTATTGGGTAGACAGACACACACAATATGCCTCACGAAATCTAAATGTAATTAAAATCTTATTTTTAACTTTTACTAAATAATGAATATTCTGAAGAAAGCCATCTCAGCGTGATTTTCCTCCCTTCCCCAAAGGTTTACTGCTTCTGAAAGGCATATAACTGCTGCAAAGCATTCTCTTGAAAATGCTATTATATCCAGTCTCTCAGGTGACACTGTCCTTGTATTACGCCTAAAAAAACGTCAGAGCCAACGTTTCAGAAAACAGATGATGGTGACAGAGAGTTGTTCATCAACCACAATTTCAGTGTCATAAGTTTCTGTCTGTCACCAACAGGTTTTATTGTTCCAAGCTGGGAGAAACATACAGCAGTAACAAGTGGTTGCAGAAGCAGGGGTTGGGAAAATAAGTTACAAAGACAATGATGTCCTAGTCTTTGAGGATGACCTTCCTATTAGTGCAGAAAACACACTGGCCAAAGCTGGCACTGGGTTCTATGGATAGTGACATCTCTGGGGACAGAACCCACACAGACCCGTGGGTCCCACAGTGACTAAGGGGTGGTAGCTGATGTTCTCTGGTATGCATCTTTTTTTTTTTTTGGACATTTGCATTAGGGATTTCCCCAAAAACACAACTTGCTCAAATTTAATGATGAACTCAGGTTTGGAATCAGTGAGAATCATGGTGACCCCTACAGTGTGGACTTCAAGAAAAAGACACTTTTCTCTCCCTTTTGAGACAAAGGAAGAGCAAGGGGGATATGAGGAGAAGATGCTGTGGACTGTAGATGCTTTTATTATTATTTTCTTATCTTTGAAAAATAACATAAGCCAGGGTCCAGGAGACGATTTTACCTCTGGTCACCTTGCCGGTCTTGTAATTACCACTCCTAAATCCTATAAAACCCACCTAGAGTATTTATTCTAGTTACACAACATGGCACTCTTTCCCCTGGGAAAGGTTCCTTGTTTTCTCATGAAACCAGGCCCTCCCCAGCCAGCAACCTCCCCCGGGGGTGTTTAAATGATCTCTTCATAATCCCCAGTGTTCAGAAGGCCGGGACATTAAACACGGTCTTATCCCAGGAAAAATCTCTGAATACACAAGGGCAGGCGGAGCAAAAAAATTCCACCACCCAGCCAAACCTACGGGTTTTAAAATTTTCTGGTCCCCCCAAAATACCCATGCTGAAAAAATACCCTCAACCGAATGGGACGGACCAAGATCTCCATCCAAGCACATTCCTTCTGGCTGGATGGGGTACAGGGTGCTTGCTCCAGTTTTATTGGGTGCAATCAACAAAATGTAAATTGAAGCCATGGTGCTCCAGCAGACTGCCTCAGAGAACGCTTTGATAAATAACTTAAGAGTTGGGTAAATAAACACATTTCCCCGTTTATTCTTTTGAGAGAGAGGCTGCTTTTGATTTCCCCTTTCAGGCTCAAAATATGACAGGTTTGGGAGGGAAAGAACCATGCTGCTTTGTCCCGTGGGGCAGGGTCGTGTCCTGCATTAAATTGAGCAAAACTGCCCCCAGATCTTTGCTCAGAGGCTGGGTATAGATAAAAATAGGATGACGATTAAAGATAGATAAAAAATAATTAAATAGAAAACAAATATAGGATGTAAGAACAGTCAAGTATAATCCATATAAAGACTGTTAAGCATTATTAGATTATGATTCATATAAGTAAAATAAGAATAAAGAGAGATACATAATAAGGAAGTGTATAGGAAATAATTAAAAAATAATAAAATTCGTTATCAAAAACAATAAAATTAGTTATAGGTGCAAACGCCAATATATTGCTGCTAAGTTACATATACAAATGGTTAAAAATATGATATAAGAGGGGTAAGGGTTAAAAGGTTACGGTTCATTATTTTTAGCAAAAATGATTTCGTTCCTGTCTGTTGGTTTTAACATAATAAAAACAAAAAAAGAATAGGGAGGAACAAATAAATCATTATAAAACGTTTGATTGTAAACCATAATGTAAGCTTTGGTGGGCATAGGTGTGAAGGGGCTGAGGGTTAAAAATGCCTTATACAAACATGTGAAAATTGAATAAACTTTGGAAGAGTCCCAAACTCGACCCAGGGAGTTGACTTATGTCTTCTTCCTTCACGGTGTCTGATTCTCTCACCTTAGGCCCTAACCCTTGTGTTGGAGCTGGACTCTAACAGCTGGGCACAGAGGAAGTGTAGTCTGATCAACGGCCTCTCAACGGGCCACAGGTATTATTGGAAAGACTCAAGTAAGAAACCGTTTTGTGGAGTGTTCGACTCAAGGTGCGATGTCTGATCGAGTGATAGGTTACTTATTGGAACATGATAGATATATCTGATTTCTATTTTT